GAGACATTTCAAAAGAGTAGTTGCAACATATTCATATCATATAGAAATATGCGTGGTCTACGCGTCTTGTTTTTTCCTTCACGACGAAAAAAAATAGAACTGTTTGAATATTTTACTATCAAGTGCAAATAAAATAATGTATGCAATGAAAAAGATGGCTCAAGTTTTTGTTTTTGATTTCTAACATAACAGCTACAGTAAACTATGTGAGACACTTATTACATTATCAGAAATCGATCTGGATTATGGGCATCATTTTTCTGTTAATTTAACTCATTGGTTACGGTTTTAATTTTTTAGATATAATTTTGCGAGAAATCTTTTCGATATTAAAACACATTTATTGTCTCTATATGTATATCATGACAAAGAGAAGAAAGAGTATAGAAGAAGAAACCCATAACAACAAAGAGAAAAAGAGAAACAACAGACTTTCTATAGTAAGCTGGATCAATATTATCGCTAACAATTAGGTATCGTATATGATATTTTCGTAGCTAAAGGACTAAAATAACTTTAAAGTATTTTTTTGCATAACTTGAATATAAAAATGAGTATAAGATATTATAAGTTGATTTTTTTAAGTATAACTTAAACAAATTTAATTTGTTTTGAATAAAAATTATTTGCACTTAATTTATAATTCATTAAATTATAAATTGAATTAAATTATTTTATATCTTTTTGATATTTCATCTCAGTCCGACGAAGAAAAAAACTGCAATGAAGTTATAACAAAAATAAAATCGTAAAAAGTGCACAGTTTTACATGTTCAAAATGCGTTAGATTTTCCAAACAAATGTGTATCCGTTCAAAAATATAATCCGCTATGAACTCGTTTCCATGTATACTTTTTACAATTTAATTTTCGTGAAAGTTTCAAGGCATTTTTTCCGTTGTTCGTTTGACTGTGATGAAATGTCAAAAAGCAATAGGATAGTATAATTCAATTAACAATTTAATAAATTATAAATTAAGTGCAAATAATTTATATTTAAAATAAATATAATTTATGGCAATTTATATTTATTTTTATATTCAAGGCGTGTAGACTTAAATGAGTTTTGAGTATCCGAAAATTTGTTTGAACTCTTATTTTATTGTTGCCTAGATACTGCACTTTTACGATATTGTTTTAGCAGAATTTCGTAGTCCCACAAAGAAACACTAAAAAAAATTGATTTTCGAATTTCGACTTGAAACTTTACATATAGACAGTCAATAATAGAAATAGTTTTTGGTGAATGCTCAAGATCTATTCACTATTCTTATTCTAAGAAGTAGCTATGGTGATAGCATATTTTTTACATAGTTGGTAGATAACTGCAGATTCTATGTTCTTATTTCAAGGTGGAAACAAGTCGAAAGATCTAAAACTTTCACAATAAATTGCTTTCATTGATGTCTCTTTTAGCACAATGTTTCAAGTTGAAATTCGAAAACTAGTTTTCATGGTGTTTCCTAAGAAAGATTATGACATGCATCTAAAAATTAAAGTAAAACTGCACTATCTCGGCAGCAATACACTAAATGAACTCTTTTTAGGTTATTCATAGGTCATTTGGTTCCATTTAATGCACGTAGTTAGGAATCAAGAGTGATTCATCAGGTGAGACTTTTCTCCTAAGTTTCTTACAATCAAACACATGTAACTTATCCAAGCATTGTATATATTATTGGTGAGATTTATTCAAATTAAAATAGCAATATATTTCGATTTCAATCTTCAATAAATAAACACATTTTATATTTCTTACAAAATTATGCAAAATTATTTATCCCAATATTGCAAAAGTTAAATATGGTAAATAACTCATTCTGTTTATCATTTTGTAAACATAACTTCTTTTTTTTTTCATAAATAGAGCGTTGTCTTTATTCATAATACAAATCCTAACCATTATGAATCGAACTAAATATTAATGCAATATTACTTTCATTTAAATTTCGTACAAAATACTCATTTACATATCAAGACATAGAGAATTTCAAGTTTTACAAAGCAAAGAAGTTAACTTCTAAAACGAACATATTGCCGTTGCATGTCAATCGAAATATTTAAACATTCTGTGTTTTTCTCTCTACAAAACATCATTGCTTGTACATCCATTCTTGGATATGCAAACTTTACTAGAGAGTTGAAAATATTTTTCATGGTTTATTTTTAAACAATGAAGATTCAGAGTTAAATTTCAATTGTAAAGCTCCAAAATGGATGCAAAAATTTAGTTTTCTTCTTCATTTATTTTGTTCTGAATTTTGCATGAAACTGTCGTTTAAAGTTCTAAAGATAGACGATTTCATCGAGAATATTCCTGTTTTCTTTTAGAAACCTAGTGAATTTATCAGTAGTGATGTCATACTTTTTTGTTTTGCTTTTAGTTCTACAGTAGAGATATATAGTGTGCAACAGTATATCGGTCGCTTTGAAATTACAGTAAAGTTCTTTGCAAAAGTGAATATTTTATATGAATAGTAAATAATTGAAAAATTGCATTTACAACTAATCGAATTCATTTCGGTTCATCCGTTATATAAGGTGTTCCAAAAACTCGTGAGAAAAATTTTCGTAAATATCTCTTATATAATTCTAGCGAGTAAATTGTTTAAGTTTGAATAACATTATAATATATTCTTTTGAGTTTTCTATCATATAATTTGGTTTATAAGAAATGTTCAAAAGATTACCATCGACTACAATAACAACATAAAGCTATTCTTTTTGAAATCTTTAAAAAACTATTGTAGAAATTTAATATTCAAGTTAATTTATTCCTATCATCGGTTCTTATTTTGCATTCAATCAAAAGCATATATATATATATGTCTTATATACATCGATTTTCACTTTATATTTATCAATAAATCATTTAAATGAAGAAAAATTCGGTCAAAAAAGAAGGCGAGTCCTCTCGATTGTCGCTGTTTTCTAATATTGACATACATGTTTTATCATTTCAACTTGATCTTGTAAATCTTCTTCATAAGTTTGTTCGATGAATTTCACCCTGTACGCTTTTAATAAAAGAAATTCAGTGATAATTCTTCATATTGTTGTTGATAGCATGGAGCAGGCTATTGTAACAGTCTAAACGTACAATTGTATCTAATTTTCATAAATATCATTAACTTCGTCGATCTTTTTATCCGTAATTTTTAACGATCCTGTAGAACATTCTTTATGTTTTTACTGTACTGGTTTCATGAAAGCATTAAAATGTAGTTCTAATGTAAAGTACTGCACGATTACAACTTTACGCGCCTCTACCCAACCCATACCCATTGCCCTGTCCTACCCCTACTCATTAATTTCGACCTCCTACCTAATCCAAGCGCCGTCACCCAACCCGTGAGTTTCAATACTCTAATGCAACCTACGCTTTGTGTACTTTTTGCCAGACTGGATTTGCAATTTTTGTTTCACGATTGCTAGTGAGTCAAATTTAACCAATAACAAAGCTATTTGTGTTCCAATGGTTGTATATACAGAGAATTCATCTGAAAATATACAGAACAAAACTTCTAAGAATATACTATAATATAATAAAAAAAATATACTAATCGAATGAGCTGTTTGGGAGTTATTCATGAAAACTTTCCTCACATGCTTTTGAAACGCCTTGTATTATGGTTGTTGCATTTTGCGCAATATTGATTGAACAAAATAATGATAAGAAACAAATGCGAAATATTTGAAAGAAAGCTATTGGCACCATGCCTACGAGATTAAAATGTAAAATACGATGTAGTTGTTGTTGCTAATCACAGACAAATTGTTTTGAAACACATTTCTTCACTATCATTTTACTTAATCCTCCAGAAATACATTAAGGAAATAAGTCATATGTTATAACAAAGCGTTATTTATCTACGGGCTCCGATCATATGTCAATCGTGTCCATGGGGTACGAGGAAGAACCAAATTTCTATTCCTATACTTCAACACTCCTTTTAGATTTTCTACTTTCGATTTGGGTCTGTTAAATGATTCGATAGATACATACAATAGGTTTTCGAAATTATTTCGTTACTTCGCTTTAAATGAAACTTAGTTTTCAACAAAATACAAAAAAATTTTGAAGACAAAAAAAAAAGGAACTCTCTTTCCTAATCTTATATTTATTTCATTTTTTTTCGATCTCTTTTTCTATCAAAAACATTAATGTTATTTGTCATACACCTATATAATATACTTTTTTTTTTACTCACATAAGAAAAAAAAAAGACACATTGAGTTTTCTAACGACTTTTATGTCTACGTGATCAAGCTTTTATTTTCTTTTTTTCTTCGCATTTTGACGCATTCAAAACCGTGAGAAATAAGATGAGCAAATAGTGCTTTCGACTGCCATCCGATAAGAACAAACATACAAGCAAAACAGGTACTATGAGCATCAGTAGCAACAAGTAACATGTCATTTCTCTCTCTTTCAACGCTACCTATAATTGTCAATATTCTTATTTAAACAGTGCCGCTTGCAAAAAAAAAAAGAAACTTTTTTTTGGCTTAATATGCATTCGTCGACCGTTTTTGCAAGTGGTAGTATTTTTCTTTTTTTTTTTTTGCAAAGCTCGGATTTGTTTTTATTCTTTATTCAAAATACATACCATAGGATCCATATTTGCAAGTAACCAATTATTAATATTGCTTAAATATATCTTAACTGTAGACATATGTTTTTTTTTTATTGACAGTCTACTCTATGTGTAAAATATTGATCCCTGTTATGTTGTATTTTGCGTAGGCGTTTTTGCAAGGATAGATACTTTCTTTTGTGTAGAGAATTTCCTTGTATAACGCACTACGCAAGTACTACAGGGGTTATACTTCATTCTATTGGCAAGTATATACAAAAACAAAATAAAATTGTATAGGTTTTTGTATTTTTTTTTTATTGAATATTATAATTAATTTTCGATTTCATTTTCATTTGTGATTGATCAAGAATTATATTATAAAATATATTTTGAATTAAGTAACAATATTTAATTGATTTAATTATTCTACTGTTGAACTAACAATTTGTTTGGTATTAAAATAGATTTCCCATAATTTTTTTCGTTTATCTTCATCTTTAAGTTCAATTAAAATATCATTTCGTATTTTTTGTTCATATAAATCATTAGTTGATTGATAAATATTTGAATGATTATAATTTTTTAAATGATCTTTTCGTCGAACAATATTATTCATAAGTATAAGACAAAATCCAATAGCATACCATATTAAAACACCCAAGATATATATCATAGCACCATGTTTATCATCTGTAGATAATTCATTTGTTAAAGTAACATTTGTTGGTAAGTTTACCATTATTATAAAAATAATATTGAATTGTTTTTACATTTGAAAAAAATAACATGATTCTTTTCATTCTATATTTATTTAGTGTAAATGGAGATGATCAATAGGTGACCTTCAATTTTAATAGAAGAAAAAGAAAAAAGGGTGTAGTGCTATTAATAGAAAATGTATTGAATAAAAGAGATATACTGAATTGTTGAAACCGATCGTTCTTTTTTTAAATATATACTATGAAAATATGATTTAGGGTAATATGTCATAAGAATCAATTGTATTAATTGTTTTCATATGTCATAGAGAAATATATGTTATGCTAAGTAAATTTCATTATCAACAAATTTCTATAGGTTACAAAAAAAACGATTCTTTAACCAAATACATTTGATATTAATTAGAATTATTATGATGTATAATGTTTTTTTGCATCAATTTTAACCATGACATATTTACTTTTTTTCGTTGTTAGTTTTATAATGAATTATGTGAAGTATTGGTACATATCAATAATCAATGAAGTTTTCTATCAGAAGCATTCTATACGGAAATTTCACAGAGGAAGACATTTAAGAAGTTAAAACGGTAGTTTTCAGATCTTAGAAGAATTAACTTTTAAGAACATAAAGTTCTGAATAAAATGAAAGGTTATTATATTTCTTATGACAAATACATTTTTTAATCATACTGTGAGCATATTTCGCTAAATGAAAGTCATAGACCATGATGTGATCCCTTATTTAATACAGAATTTTGTACTAATTTTCATACCGTTTTCTGAGACATGAAAATCATTATGTTCGACTTCTCAGATAGTTTCCTGTCATAGTCCATCCACGAAATTTCAATATGAAATTCAGAACTTCATTGGCCAGTTAGTTGTCTATGTTAAATACTTGCTATCGTAGAAAAAAAAATCAAAAATACATTAATCTTATATTGACTTTAACCATATCCCCATATCCCTATCAGCTCGAACAACAATAAGATCAGTGTGTTTATCGTTATTTTGTATCTATCAATCATGGCGATCTGCTCACTTATTTATGCGTGTAAATATTAACAAGTAATAAATTTAAGTGATAATGCTTAAATATATTTCTCATATCATTACTGCCAATAGCAACTTTCGTCAACATTTATCACATAGTACATAATCAAGATCTGTTTCTCATAGGTATAAAAAAACAATTGAAGAAAAAAGGGATCCTTTTGTAAGTTGTACATTTTGGAGACAGTGCAATGATATAAAATATTTTTTTATCGATTCAATGTGTAAGAAGTTTTTTTTATATCATGCATTCTGCAATGTTTCAAAAAATGACGATAGATTGTTTTTGTGATACATCTCACATTCTTCTTTTTTTTTTTTTGTTTATTGCAATTGAAACGAAAACTAACACGGATTTGTTATTTAGTAACATTTTATTTTCTATTGTAGTAAAAGAGCAAAAAGTTAAAATATATTTAACTCATTTCTCGGTTTTTTTATTTTGTATGAATGTATGCTTGAATGATTTCGTTGAATATGAAGTAATTCACACACATCTATAATAACTATTGAAATAAAGAAGAAAATGAATTTAAGATAATAAAAAAATTTTCCTATTTACAAAATCTAATAATCAACATGTAAATTTTTACATCTAGATTTGATTTTTTTTCTGAATATCGAATGTCAGTAAAAAAGCAACACATGTCTATTTGAGTTTTTATAGAAATGTAACGACCTCTTTAATAAATATTATTCAACATATGTCTTATTGGTGATCTAAATATGATCGAAGTAATGAAAAAAAATGGCTGCCTCTCTTATTTCTCGACAACATAATACTTTTACTCAATATTCATAAAAAAAAAAAAGAAAAAAAAGAAAAAACATTATGACATTATTACGGTGAACTCTACGACCGAATTAAAAAATAAATAAATATATTCATTTTGCAAATGACATTATATTGTTTTCGTAATTGTACATTAATGCGTAATCATGCATTAATTATTGATGATCTTTGGATACGTCATGGAAAAATAATTGATCCTGAAAAAATTTTTTTCGATGAAAAAATTCAACCTGATATTGAATATAATTGTCAAGGAGTATTAATAGCACCAGGATATATTGATTTACAAATTAATGGAGCATTTGGTCATGATTTTTCATCACCAAATGAAGCAAATGAAAATATGTTAATTGATGTAGCAAGAAAATTAACATCACATGGTGTTACAGCTTTTCTTCCAACTATTGTTAGTTCAACTATTGATACATATAAAACAATAATACCAAAATATAAACGACGAGCTGGTTCAGCAAAAGATGGTGCAACTATTCTTGGTTAGTACAAATTAGATTTATATTAAATGATAAAATAAATATTTTCATATTTAGGTATGCATATTGAAGGTCCATTTATAAATGAAATTAAACGTGGTGCACATCGAACAGATTTTTTACGTCAAAATCCACATGGTATTGAAGATTTATTATCATGTTATGGTTCATTTGATAATGTTTCAATTGTTACAATTGCACCTGAAATTCCTAATATGATTGAACATATTATACCTGAATTAGTTGAAAAACATGGTTTAATTGTTTCAATTGGTCATTCAACTGCATCACTTGATGATGGTGAACGTGCTGTTTGTTCCGGTGCTCGATTTATTACACATTTATTTAATGCAATGCTTCCATTTCATCATCGTGATCCTGGTCTTGTTGGTATGAACAAGAAAAAAAAAAAAAAATTAAATCTTTATCTTTTTAACAAATTTTGAATTGTACAAAAAAGGTCTTTTAACAAGTCATCGTCTTCCAGCAACAACTGTTATTCATTATGGTTTAATTGTTGATGGTATACATACACATTCAGCTGCTGTACGTCTTGCACATCGTGTTCATCCAAAAGGTCTTGTTCTTGTTACTGATGCTGTACCAGCATTAGGATTACCTGATGGTATTTATCATATGGGTGCTGATAAAATAGTTGTTGAAAAAAAACGTGCAACTATTGCTGGTACACAAACATTATGTGGTAGTATTGCATCATTAGCTGAATGTGTACAAAATATGAGACAAGCATTACTTGATGGTGAAAAAAAACACGCTAATCAGAAAATTTTAGATGAAAAAGATAAATTTAAATTTATTGTGGAATCAATTGAAGCTGCAACACTTCATCCAGCTTCAGGTAAATGTTCATTTATATTTTTTAGATTTCGATCGAAATATATATATAGACAAAGTTCTAATGATTTGTATTCTATTAACGTGAGAGTGTATAGGCATTATTCATTCATTCGCATATTGGAAATTTTTTGTTAGTATTTGAAATACGGTTCTGGACAAAATCGGCTGCATCTCAGGAAGTACTATTATTGTTTTATGATATTGAGTTGATATTTTGAGTATAGATGTGTGAGAATAAACTTTGATCATCTTATCTCAACCAGGTTGACATAAATAGTTTTATTCAACCCCTTGTTCGAGAGGTCATTGATGTAGGTATCTCTATTCTGAATTTCTTTTTTTTTTTCAGTCGTGATATTGCAGAAAGTCAAAATATCGGCTCACTATCTCACAGCACGCTAATTATTAAGACCTTGACAACATGTCATGAACTTATCGATATATAGAGCTGTTTCCGTTGAATAGGTTTTTTATAAGAAAGCATAATTACAATCGATTTTTTTTAACTTTCACAAGAGCAACTCTACAATGAACATTAGGTAACTTTTTTTTTGGTAAAATGTTGATGTCATTTATCAGAAGGATTATCTTCGCATTCTTTCCATGTTGCAAATCTTCTTTTTTTCACATGGCATTCTTTTTTCTTGCATGATACTGTACGTGACTGAATTACATGTCAACAAATAGAGGTTTAAGAAACTAAGATTCATTGAAATCTGATCTATTCAATGGTATTTGATTTGAATATGGAAATACAAAAAACTTCTTTAATGTAGGCACTAACGGAACCAAGCAAAAGTACTCATTTTACGGATATTAAGCATTATTGCTCTTGTGTAATATTGATATTGTTTTTTTTTCACATTGAATATGAATAGTTAGTCTATGTTATTTTTATACTGATCCCATGATTGTTTTATCATAACACGACATTTTTGGTTGTTTCGCACCGAAGTGATAGAACATATGTTGTTAATACTACAAAATTGTTTATGTTTCTTCGAATCGGAAATAAGCGCCCCCTATGTAGAATAAAGAGCTACTCATAGTTGAGAGGCTCATTCTTAGCAAAATTTGCTTGGAACGGAATAGAGACTGCTCATTATAAGGAGGCACTTACATAAAGAAGTGCCAATTAATTTAATTTGAGAGAAATTTTATGCTTTTGCAGAAAACAGTCTCAAAGAAATGTTAACATATACGAATAGAAATTCAGACTCCAATTACAGATTATGCCCGACGTAGCCATAGAAACGCCACAGCCTGTAACAGATGTTATGGATTAACAATCATAGATCGTCTATGAATAACATCTCGTTATAATATATGAATCTACTTCATTTTACATTTCGTCGAGGACTAAATAAATGGATTCAAAAATAGTTAAAATAAAATCATCGTCCTGTGACTAACAACAACAGCTAAATCATATTTCACATTTTTACCATTTGAAATGAAGTAACATTAAAAAGATACTCTTATATAATATACCCTCAAAAAATATTCGAAAGAAAATTCGTTTGAAGCATGTCTTGAACGAAATCAAGGATGTTATTTACATAAATATAAAATATATTATTTTGCAAAGAATTTATTTTTGAGAGAAACATTTTACAAAAGTAGGATTTCATGCCTTGACTAGAAGATAGTGACAGACGACTAATCCAGAATTTTATTACTATATACTTTGACACTAATTAGTCATACTGATAATAACCATCCTATAATCAGCAGATTAATTTTTGTTGTTTTGTTTAGTACTTCATATTGAAAATCAAAAAGGTACATTATCATTTGGTGCTGATGCTGATTTTATTTTACTTGATGATAAACTAAATGTATTATCGACATTTATTGCCGGTGAACAGGCTTGGACAGTCAATGATAAATGGTTAATTAATAATCTTCGTATAAAATCAAGTCCATAAATTATTTCAGCGTTTTTGCTGTGATAAAATTAAATTTTTATTCATTTTTTTTTTCTCAAGTTATTAAGTTGAATCTTAATTGCAATAAGATAGATAGAGTGGTTTTACTTATTATTTTTTTCTGGGGCTTATGATAATAATAATAATAATAATAATAATAATAAAGCTTTATTTTAGATTAAAAAGATAAGATTATGTCTCGTTCACCAAAAGTTTATTTAACGCGACGCGAAACATTTTCTGCATCTCATCGACTTCATTCCATACATTTATCTGATAGTGATAATATTCAGATATTTAGTAAGTGTAATAATCCGAATGGACATGGTCATAATTATATACTTGAAGTAACTGTTGTCGGTCATACTGATACTAATACAGGCATGGTTATGAATATAAGTGATCTTAAGGAATTAATTCAGATACATGTACTTAATTTAGTCGATCATAAACATTTAGATTTAGATGTTGAATATTTTCGTACAAAAAATATTGTTAGTACAACAGAGAATTTAATTGTATTTATATGGAAACAATTATATTCAAAAATTCAAGAGCAATATAATAATACTGTAGAATTATATGAAATTAAATTATATGAAACAGAAAAAAACATTGTTACATATCGTGGTGAATAAGTGCAATTATTTATTATTATTATTCTAGTCATTTTCTTTCCAAATATATTTTTTTTGTTTGTTTTTACATTAATTGAATGTCAATGAGATAAATATTTATTTAATTTGGTGTCATTATTTTAGATATATATGTCTCACATTGTCTCATTGCGTAGTGCATCATTACGAGCACTACGATCAAATTCAACAACTCGAATAGCTATTGCAGCTGCAACAAAATGTCCAACCTATTCACATCGATCGAATTTACATCAACAACAATGTTCATTTTCGACTATTCCTCAATCACCAACTCGAATTTTATCAACAAAGAATAATAGATTTACAAAACGAGTAAGAAATTCTATTCGATACAAAACAATGATTCTTTGTTTTTCTTTCAATTGATTTAATCTTTAAGAAAAATAAACTGACAACCAAAATTTAACATCTTAAAAGTTATAACAAAAATTATAAATTAATTTTCGTTAGAAAATCTTTTTCACATAGAGAAAAAAATACGCTATGTAATACCCCCCCCAAAAAAAACGAACGATATATTAACTAAACTAAATCAATCAACTGTAAAAATATTTTCTTCTTTATAGACACTTTCTGATGAAACATTCTTTATTGATTCACGTCATGGTGGTGTATACGCATTGACCCGATGCCTTCATACAAGTCCAATCCTTTGTATGTATTTTTTTTTTATTATTCGATCATTAGAATTAATTACTTTTTATTTTTTAATTAGTCGACTCAGTGAAGGTTGCAACACCATCATTTCCTGAATCGGTTAAAGATGGTACAATTCGTTTTTTAAAAAAAGTAGGCGATAAAGTATCTGCCGATGAAACAATTGCTGAAATTGAAACTGACAAAACAAATTTAAGTGTTAATGCACCAACAGGAGGTACAATTGAATCTTTACTTATTAACGATGGAGACAATGTAGTATCCGGTGCTCAAGTAGCTGTAATTAATACAAGTGGTGATAGTGCTAAACCAACACCAGCTGCAGCAGGTATGTTGTTTCCGGAAAAAAAAAAGAATAGCAATTCATCAACAGATAGTTCTTTATAGAGTACTTTTCTTTATCAATTCTATTGAATCATATATCAATAGAACGAACATGTTGAGACAAACAATTTGATACTAGTTTCATATGATTTTTATCCAATTAGAAATTTTAAAGAGAATCAATATCGATTAGAAAAGATTGTATTCTAGTAAAAACAAAGACGGTGTGATTTAAAGAATTTCCGAAATTCTTGTTTGTCGTCGAAAAATTTATATTTGATCTCTGAGAGAGATCAAACGTAAAAATTAATTTTTATAACAATACTGTTTGGACAACATAAATTGAACAATAAGTGTGGATGATAAATACGGTAAATATAATAATAACTGAAAAGTGTATCACTTTGCTAATATAACTTTTAGATGTCATAGTTTGATTAAAACCTCATGAAACTATTACAAAAATATTAGCTTCAACATACTCTTTTCATTAAAACATGATTCAATAGATTTAGCCAAATAAATACTAATAAACTGATTGAGTCTCTTGTGCCTTCTGAATTTCATTTTGAAATTTTACACATAAACTGAACTTACAGATAATAAATATTTTTTTTTCTCATTAGAACAAGAAAAAGGCAAACCAGCTGAGAATGCAAAAACCAAAGAAGAACCATCTAAAGTATCCTCTGATACCAGTGGTCCAGCTCCAAAAACAACACCTTCTGTACCAGCTGTACCCAAAGGTCCACAACGTGAAACACCAACATCACAGATCTCAGTTACACCTGCTAAAGCATATCAAGCACCAAGTATGAGCGGAATTGATCCAAATAAAATTACTGGTACACGATCAGAAACACGAGTTAAAATGTCTCGAATGCGTTTGAAAATTGCTGAACGTCTTAAAGAAGCTCAAAATACTTGTGCAATGTTAACAACATTTAATGAAATTGATATGAGGTTTAAATAATAAAGATAAAATTAATTATTTAAAGTTAAATATATATATATATATTTCTAGTAATATCGTCGAATTTCGTAAAAAATATGCTGACCAATTTCTTAAACGTCATAATTTAAAATTAGGATTTATGTCAGCTTTTGTTAAAGCATCAGCATGTGCTCTTGTTGATAATCCTATTGTCAATGCCGGTATATTTCTAATTTGTTTTAATCGTTATATAAATTTCAAAAATGTTAATTTTATAAATTATAGTTATTGACGGAAATGAAATTGTCTATCGAGATTATGTTGACATTAGTGTTGCTGTTGCTGCACCAAAAGTATTTATTCATATAAATATATAAAATATAAGTATCTGTTTATTATTTAGGGTTTAGTTGTACCCGTACTTCGAAATGTTGAAAAAATGAATTATGCTGAAATTGAACGAACAATTAATGAATATGGTGAAAAAGTATAGGATATGTTTTTTTTTTCTCTTTATGTAATGAAATATTAGATGTAGCAAAAGTTTTGCATGCAATGCTATTCAGCAACATCAAGTGTCAATTGATTTGAAAATAAAACGTTCTTTTTCTTATGTATAACTCTCAAAATCAGTACTAATCTCATAGAAAGCATTTGATAGAATGATAAATGTTGTCATCTTTTAACAGTACTTATGACAGTTTATTTTTGTGTAACATTGATTTAATTAAAAAAATGACCTTAGTTGTCAATCATAGAATGAACTTCTTTTCCGATTTTTCCTTGTGTGAAATAATATGATGATATGCGGGTTTAGTGTTAGTAGTCTATGAAAATAGCTAAAAAAAATCGTAATAGAAGATTGAATGGCTGCAAAACTTTTGTTACGCTTTGATATATCTTTGTATTCGATTTGTTTTTCTTCATAGGCAAAAAAAGGTTCACTTGCCATTGAAGATATGGATGGTGGTACATTTACAATTAGTAATGGAGGAGTATTTGGTTCATTATTTGGTACACCAATTATAAATCCACCACAATCTGCTATTCTTGGTATGCATGGCATATTTGATCGACCAGTAGCTGTTAATGGCAAAGTATGATTTTATTTTGATTTTGATTTATTTTTTTTTTATTTTTATTTTTTGTTAGATCGAAATTCGTCCAATGATGTATGTAGCACTTACATATGATCATCGTATATTGGATGGACGTGATGCAGTCCTATTTCTCCGAAAAATCAAACAATATGTCGAAGATTCACGTTCAATCTTTCTCGATTTATAAAAAAGAAAACGAGATCTGATGGATCTTAACAAGAATGAAAAAGAATTATTCTAACATCAGTTCTTTTTTGTTGGTGTTCTCTTTTTCATTGTGACACTTGACTTGAATCGATCCTTTTCTTCTTTTATAATTTTCTTTTTTTTTCCAGCATATAGGCGGATATTGTAGTGAAAACAAAAAAAAAATATATTTGAATATCCTATCCAAGAACACCTATACTACTGTCTGTTTGTTTTCTCTCCTAGTTTGATTGAATTTTTACCTTATATTATTTTATTTTTGTGTGAGTTCCACCTATGCACAAGAAAAGAATAGATTAAAACAAAGAAAAAAATGTATTATTATTGTCTTTCTTTTTTCTTTTAATAGTAAATGAAAGGAACGCGTAATATGAGATGTTGGTCATTGATTAAATATTACATCTAAGGGGACATTTTTTAGATTGCCTTGAAGCATAGAATGAGTACATATACGAGAGTTGTCATTCCGCCTCTCCTCTCTCCTATCGTTCTTTTTCTTTCTTTTTTTTGCGGTTTCTAATAGATGAACATTGATAGATGTATACACATACAAATGAAATAAAAGGGAGGAACGAGAACGAGAGAGAAAAAAATGTTGATCATTTGTATTCTATTGCTGTCGCTGCCATTGAGGTTAAGAGTAACATTCGATTTCCTTTCTTTCTTTCGTCTCCTTTGACACCTGATGAGTGTCAACTATAGTGCTTAGTCAGTTGTCGTAGAGATTGAACGAGTGTTGTCAGCTGTCGTACGTCACCTATGTCTGGTCATCATCATTATCATCATCGTCGGTGTTTTTCATTGAAACGAACGAGTGAATTTGCACAATATTGGTTACATGAACGTACATCATCCTCATCTCGTCGACATCAATCGCTCAAACGCGATACTTCATCGATTGTCGACATTAGTCAGAAGGTAGTTTTTATTCGTATTGTTGATTGATATATACATAATATTACAGATATAACGACGTTATTATATTTTTTTGATATATATATATAAATGTATATATACATATATATGTATATTTGTATAAAGATCATCTTGACTTGTTGTTATCAATTGATAAACTAAAGCATAATTGATTTATATTTGTAGAACATTGGCCCAAGAATGGCCAAAAAAAATTATGATCTTCTATTCAAATTATTATTAATTGGCGATAGTGGTGTGGGTAAAGTAAGTAATTTTATCAGAAAATAAATGTAAATAATTGATTATTTTATTTTTTTTTTTATTAAAGACTTGTATTTTATTTCGATTTTCTGATGATTCATTTAATGCTTCATTTATCTCTACAATTGGTATTGATTTTAAAATAAAAACAATTGAACTTGATGGACGTAAGATAAAATTACAGATATGGTAAGATGTATAAAAATTAAATTGATGATGATAAATATGAATCAAAATAATAGATAATACTGTCATATATATTTGCCTCTGGGAAACAATGTCTACACGTACGTGTAAAGATAATCATCTTTACCTGCCTTCAACATGAATGAATAATATTGCGTGTTATTCATACTATTCGTTATGTAATCAAGTTTGTCGTTAGATTTTATCATAGAAGAATCTCTAATTATTCAAACAGTTATATCCTAAAGTTCTAATAGATTAGGATTGAGATCACTACATATTATTCCCATGAGTAATACAAAAGAAGAAAAAAAAAATCATTAGTGCATCAAGATATAATTATTTATTTTCAATTTTATCTATTCATTTGTATTACTTAGGGATACTGCCGGTCAAGAACGATTTCATACAATAACTAGTAAGATTCATTTATTTACTTTTTTTTTCTTAAATAATAATAATTATTATTATTTTAGCATCTTATTATCGGGGAGCAACCGGAATAATGCTTGTTTATGATGTGACACAAGCACGTTCTTTCGAAAATATAAATAAATGGCTACGTAATATTGATGATCATGCATCTGATGATGTTGTTAAAATGCTTATCGGTAATAAGTGTGACATGGACGATAAACGTTGTATTACACGAGCACGCGGTGAAGCATTAGCACGTGAACATGCAATACCATTTCTTGAAACATCAGCGAAAAATAATGTTAATGTTGAAAAAGCATTTTTCGAAATGGCAAGACTAATACTTAAAAAGACTCCAGTAAATTCAACTGAAGGAACATCTGGAATATCTCCTGGTCTATCGCAAGGCAATAGACAAACGAATCAATCAAATTGTATGAATTGCATGTAGAACGAATTGAAACGAAAAAAAAAAAAAATTAAATAAATTAATCAGTCAATGTATATCCTGCAATCAGTCAAAGTACAGAAAAAAATTCAAAGATTTATTTGTTCTTATAATCAATGTCGTCGCATTTTCTTTTCTATATCTGTTGTTGATTCTATTCTTCCCCTCTCTTTCAACAGATGCAGTTGCATGTGTAATTTTTTCTTTCTTTTCTTTTTTTTTCTATCTTTATCAAATGGTATGTGGACATGTTAATATATAATGAAAATTTCGGAGAGAAAAATCAAAAAAAAAAAAAAAAAGTAAATTTACATTGTGTCAAGAAATCTTTAAATGCCATGACTCAATTGAAGTGAAGCTATAAAAAGAAAGTGTATACTCATAAATGTATATGTTATCAGCTGTTCAATTATATTTACAACCATCTGTTATTTCACACTTTTCGAAATTGATACATTTTTTTTTGAGACAGTTCCAGTTTTTTTTTTATTGATGATATTGAAACTTAATGATTATTCTAATCTAAAGATAATTTACGAAAGAAAAAAAAAATACAAAAATCAAGTTTTCTTCAGAAAATCATGGTATGAACTATGTTCAAGATATTCATAGCCTGTTCCAGTCTACATAATGCACATAGTATCTAATTGCTTGTTACAATAAAAAAGATGGAATTGTAATTATCCTTAGTATATAAATCTTGAGCGATTTGTACATGAATATGTAACGCATGTATCACACAAATAATTTTATGTACTTCTGCATCAGAACTCTCGATAGACTGAGCTTGATCTATGATAGTCAACCTAGTTCATGGATGCTCAATAGTCAATGATCTACATAGTTAAACATTATTTTTACAGATATTCTTGGAAGAATTAACTAATTATTTGATTACGAAGTGTCTAAATATCAATTAACGGCTGAAATCAAAGAATACTGTCAATTGCATCGTTGTAATTCTTGAATCACTCGATCAGACAGCAGCGTAGAAAATAATTTTATACATTCATAAAAATATTTAAAAACAGCTTGACATATCAACAATTGCTTGTTAACTAATGATAAATAGCTCAATATTAACATACGAGATGGTCAAAAAGAACTCACTCTTTTTTTTTAAATTTTTTCTGCTATTTTAGAATCCAACTTTTAGTCGAATTCTTTCTGGAACAAATATAGTTATGAAAAAAGGTAAGAGATCGAAATATTTTTATTTTCAAAACATTCCAGCGCAACTAGAAACAAATAATACATTTCTTAAGTATGAAATCAGTGCCGGAATAGTATATCTTCACTGAAAGCAAACAAAAGATCTCTCCTTGAAATGTATTGTTGGCTTCAAATTTGATGTAGCTATAGAATAAATAGTATACTTAATATAGATAATAGTTCGATTTAAAGAGCATTGTTTTTCAAATACTTTTTGAACTTATGACGTTTATTATTGTTTAATGCTAATTTTTGTTTCATTCTTCTCTATTGTACCGTAACTTGTTTCGGATTATACAACCAAAATTCATCAATATGTTGTATTTTTTGTTATATTTGTTCAAACACTTTATCGATTGCATATGATTGATCTTAACTAAAACTTATTCAATTGACTACAGCATCGAACTACTATGACACGTCGTTTTATGACTGGAATGCAATCGAGCTATTGTGCGAATATTTTAATCATCTTAGTAAACTGACAATGATTCTCAATAATTTATGTCTAATTAATCTGTCAACGTCTAGAAGTATAGTCTGGGAATTTCAGGTTAACAAAGGGTTTCGATATTGAATTATTGAATTCTTGCAAAAGACCAAAAACTAGAGAAAATTATTTCGTTCCAAAATAGGATTTCGTGGTATTTTAAAATCTGTTTTCTTCTAAATAACGGTAGAATTTCTTCAAAATAAAGACATTTTTATGTAGTAGATTTTTCCAGCTCCATCTATTGCAAACAATTTGATTTAAAAACTGAATGTTATGAATTCAGGAATTACATTTTCTAAGAGAGTAAGTTTTTTTGACCGCTCTATATAATTGCATGAAACTTCATCACACTAAAACAACATGATATTCATATGTAATTTTTCAACGCCGTGAGTCATCAATGAGAACACGCACTAGCATTTCCGTCTCATTCTTACAAATTAAGAAATAAACATGATAAACAAATGCCCTGCTTGGTAACGTCGTGTTTCGAACAGGCTTACTAATCTGTTTCCATTTCTGCTGTTTTTGCTTCAATTATAACTTCAGATGTTTCATGCATTCTCGATAAGCCTTAATAATTTCTATACAACTTAGATGATCGTTTTTTCATCATTTTACTGTTACATGTTTAACCAATACGAAGGCGGCCATACACTTCCATACCCTGAGCGACTCTGAACAATATTCTCAGGTTTAGTCACAAATAGCAATCAGAACTATGAAGCTTTTGGTGATTTTATTTAATTTTACGCAAACTACTGTTATGTAATTCAGAATAGTTGAGAATTTAAATGTTCCTTTGAATTCGATCATAGTCAATTTTATATCATGTTTTTGATGATGAATGATGAAAACAAATAAAATGGATCGACCATGAGAGCAGTCACACAGAACCATGGTATAAAAATGTAACTGCTGGAAAATGTTGTAGATGCGGAGGATGTTGTGGATGTTGTAGATGTTGTAGATGTTGTAGATGTTGTGGATGTTATGGATATTGTAGATGTTAAAGTGGTTTCATTAATATTTATAATCAACGAATCCAGTACACGTAACACAAGCTCGTGTCTTGACGTCAGATTGTATTGACTATCTTGAGCACTGACACGCACCAATATATCCTCTGCTGGCAACGAAGGGACTTGCCAACGAAATAGAGCTGTCTGTGTATCGAAATCAGCCGTGTTCGGCCCTATCAATAGAGCATATCTAACATTTGTAGTGAATGGGCTCACAGCAGTAAAGTTGATTGTAATGTTGCTCGATACATTGACTGTCATTATAAGTTCTAGTGCTGAATTAAATACGGGTGGGCTTCGCTGATCAATGGCAATTTCCGTCATTTCATTGCCAGTGGCCAATGACGCACGCCCGAATGCAATATCATTGGTGACGGTTACATCATAGTAACATGTTCTTTCTGCAACTGTCCAAGTCGATTCATTTGTTGATGAGATGTTACAAATACTACGTGTAGTATTTGCCTGCGTAGTTGGAAGCTGTTCGGCAAATATTGGCACATATACCAGGGACTTATTGGTATAGTATAATGCTGAATCGCCCGCTTCATAAAAAAAAAAGAGATTGTTTCGGATTGATTACCCATGTTTGTCCGAATTCATAGTATATCTGTGCCTCTGTTAGTGAATCAGCATTATCGACGACAGATCCATTTGGAGTACGAAGGTCATTTGTTCGATTGTTATCGTAGAAGCCCAGTAGACCATAGGTGCGACCTTGGAAAGAACCAGCTACAGATACACCAAGGTTTAAAACAACAGTGCCAGCAACTGGTGAACTCAAAATAATAGGTGTAATTTGAATGCTGACTCCTATGAACCAAGAAAGTGTCAGTGCACCACTTGTTCGATTTCGTTCCAGTGTCATTTCGGGATAGAAGAGAACAAATGAATCCCTGGTACTCACTGTATCAGCACTGACTGTATCAAGATCGATGGTTTCGTTGCCTCGACGAACAATCAGTAGTTCTCGTCTAGACACTGTAACACTGATACTTTCTGCCTGTGGATGATCGGATTTGGCGGCTAATCCTCGCGTAACTGTGGCTAAAGTTGCGATTGTTTGATTTGAATAGAAAACTGGTGTTGTACGCACTTGAGCTATAAAACTATAGTTTTGGGACGATGAATTGAAGCTATCAGGAGCTGGTGCCGATGAGGCTATAGCCAAATAAGTATATTCTCCATAGCCATTGAAAGTAAATGCTGAACCGTCTAGTGTAGTGTAGTGCGGATCACCCCAAGTCCCACCCCAAACACTACGTGAGTTACTACCACGGCGCAATGGTCGTAAATTGAAGTAAGTTGTGCATGACTCATCATTTGCAGTCAGTAAGCAACAGGCTAAATAAGGTAGTGTATCATCGAAAAAATGAGCTACTGGCAATGAAGACGGTCGATGTCGGTCATCTGTTCCTGCTCCTGTACCTCGGGTGATTAATTGTCCTTCGGTATCGTAGCAGCATTCAGTGCCTGCACCCCATTCATTGCCTGAAAGAGAAAGATAGCAAGCGATAGCCGATATTTCTTCGTGACCAGCTCGTGCACGATGAAGATTGCAATTGGTGAATGAATTGTAACTTGTAGCCCTGCACATCGGATCTGGTTCATAACAACATCGAGCGACACGTGCTTGCGCTACACTCATCGGACAAGATAACAGATTTTGATTCCAGGTGGCGGCCGATGGTTGTCTAGCAGCCCATGTTTGACAAAAGCCTTCAGCGATTGAGGAAGTTAAGTTTAGGGCAAAAACTGATGAACTAAGAGTAGCATAAATAATGTTGGTTGTGTTGTCTCGCGCTACTATTCTGAAAAAGCTGGATTGAATATTGTTGCTAATCAATGGGATAGTAATTGTTGTGAACTGAATACCGATCAGAGGAGTGAGATTTCGTTGAAGGATAAAACTGGCACCTAAGTCAATACCTCCGGTAGATTCGTTCAATGTGATAGTCGATAACTGCACTTCAATTTGTATCGTACCATTAGGCCAGTTTTGTTGTGTCGCTTCCGAGAACAACCAGGACAATGTTACTTGATCACCAATCGATATAATTACACTGCTTATATTGACAGTATTGACTTCAGTATTATCGACCGTTGCAGTACCGAATTGCAATGGGGTATAGGCAAATGAGTTTGAAAACAATCGATAAGTTATGCCTCCGTCTGTAGACAAATAGACATTCACATAGCCGGGCAATGGTGATGCGGGAGTGAGGCAGATAGCTTGAAAATTACTCACGATAAGAGCGTCAACAATGTTCGATTCACCAAAACGACACTTGACATCACCTGCACTCATATTAGTGAAACAAGGTCCTTGAAAAGTGAGCGCTGTCGAGCCTAGTTGTGAACCACGAAGAGGTCTAAATGTTAGTGGATACGTAGTGCCACATCCACCAAGGTTAATTGTATCTGTATCAGTTCGAAAAACGAATAGACCCGGCACATTGACATTACTTATGTTTGTCAATAGAGTCACATTATTCGTCCTCGAATAGGGTAGCATCTGAAAAACAACACCATCGCCTGCATTGAAGCCAGCTTGACCACCTGTTACTGAAGTAACCGACGGACTTGCCCATTGTAGATCGTGATAGAGCAAAAAAGTAAAACTGCGAACTTCATCTGTAGCAAGCACAATTTGAAATGTATTCAGGCGACTAGTCTGTTGTCTATAAGCACCTACTCGATACCAGGTACCAATAATGATCATCGATGGATTGAATGGACGTTCCCCGGGAAAATATTGTCGAACATAAGTCGAAGCTTTGACAAAAACACCACCGTAGCTGCTGTTGTCATGAATATGGTAGTAGACTTGATTGCCATTCGTGACCGATCCACGCGTATCAATATCAGACCAAAAACCAGCAATCAAACGGCGGTTATCGCTGAGTGGGAATGGATCAGGAACATATTGACTAATCTGGCCGAGGAAAGAGAAGAGGCCATTGTTAGACAAATATATCTGTTGATGATTGTGGTCAAAATAGGGGAAGAGACGTGGCAGAGGCAGAGCACCTGTACTCTCATCATCATTTGGCCAAAATAGTGTATCATTAAATTGATTACCGAAAGAAAAGAAGTCACTCAGAGGAACAGTTTGTCCACCAGTAATGAATATGGTTACGACGAGACATATACTACACAACATGGTTGTTGTTGAGTTTGAAAGTCACAATGTAGTATGCATGCTGAATCACATACTTTTATACATTCTACTTCTTCTATTCAATTAATCACTTTGCTCTTATTGTTGCATTTCTTCTACAACCAAAATACCTGAAGGAAATACTCACAATTTCAGTAGCCAACTTATGGTTTTTAGGGGTATGCAGATTATTTTTCGGCGAAAGGAAAGTATCGTATCGCACAAATGTAATTTGATCACAACAGAAAATGAATAAGAATGATACTCAATTCAAGCAAAGAGAATTCATTCATGGATATTCAAGTGAGAAATCAACCAATATGAAGTATATGTTTGTTGGCCGAATCATACTTGCTCTTATTCAAATCTGACCGAGCATGCTTATTCGGTTTTTCTTAAGTAACCGTAAATCCATCAAGTGCTTGGTGGTTATTCTTTCTTTTAAGATTGGTAATGTGCACATTGCTAGAACAGTACAAAAAGCCTTCAAGTCATTCAGAAGAGCAAACATCAAAACAAGTAAACAATGTAGCAAAAAGCAAAAACTCATCAACAATACCAAAATCAGATAGCTGAGGTTCGTGAAGATGAAGCCAGTCACTTGCAAAAAGAATTCCAAGAAAAGTTTACTATTCAATTATCAGTTTTTGATACGTTATGAAGGCATAAGAGCCGTATCTTGAAACAGATACAAAATTCATGTCCGTTGCTCGCTACTAGAACGGCGTGTTGTCGTGTTTTTCGACTTCTACTTCAAAAAACTTGGAAAACTTGTTTCGTTTGATGTATTCAGTGACCTTCAAAATTAATCATATAAGTTTATTTTCGAGTTTTTCTCCTAATGAGTGTGTGCGTGTGTGAGTTGGATTTTGATGTGCGTGTTGGCCTTGTTTTCACAAGAGAACGGGCGTCGTGAAAACAAAGCCAACATCTACACCCATACTCTAATGTACTCTAGAGTTATTTACAAAACTAACACCACCTATAATGAATTTCAGTTTATATCTCAAGAATGGTTTGTTGCCAGATGGTACGCCGCACATATAGAATCAGAAAAATTAACTTGAATTTTGGTGCGAGTTTCATCCAACCATTTTGAGTTTCAATAAAGCCAAATTTATCACCCTCTTCATCACCAGATCCTATACTAAGACGGATTGTTGATTATCTATTCGATACGCTTATTTTCAGGAAGTTTATCAATGTAAGTTTGTACTTTAGAATTCAAGGTATTCAATCATTTGAAAGCAGAATCACACAAAAAATAATTTATGTTTTTAAAAGAAAGAGACAGAATATGTTTCTGATTTCATATGTCATAGCAGTGAACATCAATCTATTAATTATGAAGAGTTGAATAAAATTCCAATGTTTACTAAATAATCATTGTTAAACATGAAAGTTATCTATATGTTAGTATTTTAAAATAATGTAAAATAAATCATAAAAAGTCGATCAATAATTTAGCATTTCTATAATTACAAAAGTTGAGCATAATAGTAAACAAACAAACATTAATTATTGAATGAGTCCTGCTATCAGCATACATTCCAAACTCAACTCATTTTCGATGTCAACTGTGACATATGTATAACAATTAATTTAATTAATTGTTTTATTTTAATTTTAAAACTTGAATAAAAATATACAAATATATATATAAGAAAGTACAAATTTTAGTAAATAACAATAATTTATATGTTATTTCTGACCAGACGAAATGATTCATTTCTCATATCACATAAAATGGTCTGCCGGTTGTGTGATCATTTGGAGAAAACCGTGGAAAAAAATAATGTCCTTGATTGTTGTTTTGATTTTATTTTTGAAAAAAACATATACAGTCATGCTCTATCGACTTTGTCCTTTATTTGTGTACGAGTTATTGGAAAGTAAAACTTACTTTTGCATATATATTATGAATGTCTTTTTTTCTTTCACTGGTCTCTTGAGTCTTATACTTATTCAAGGTAGCAGTTGTTGTCGACGAAAGAGAGAAGCATGATGCAAGCATCTCGATATCGATCATTTCAACCACTAGTCAATAGAGATAAGATGCCTCGTCGATATCGTCTTATGCGACCATATCAGTTTCCAATGCAACCTTTACCATCCTATGTTGATCTTCGTCGATGGATGACGCCTGTCGAAGATCAACAGAATTATGACGCATGGTGAGTATTGCCATTTGTGAAATTTACCTCTTTCGACGCTGAAGAAATATATGTGGATAAATCATGTAACGAACGATTTTATTTTTCCTCTAGTGTTGCTAATGCTTTTGCAGGCATAATTGAATATCTTATTCTGCGTCGTACTGGTCTTCACATTGATGTCTCTCGGATGTTCATATATTACAATGGTCGAATGATTCAAGGTCAAAGTTTGGCAGTATCGGATGATGGTACATTAAAACGAGACACTGCGTTAGGGTTGCGAAAATTTGGTGTATGTCAAGAGTTTGTCTGGCCATATGAGCTTAAAAATGTCAACAAGACACCACCACCTCACGTATATGACGCAGCAAAAGAAATTACAGTTGTTCCATTGAAAATTCCTCGAAATTTACCTGCAATGAAAACATGTTTAGCTAATGGAGTACCATTTCTTATCGGCATTGCATTGAACGTGACAGAGGCATCCGACGAAGCAAAACAAAATAATGGTTATGTATCGATGCCAGATCCAAACGATCCTAATGTGTCTTCATGGGGCTTCCATGCCGTTATCATTGTCGGTTACGATGATCGAACGCAGAATTTCATCGTACGAAACTCTTGGGGAGCTAACTGGATAACAGCTATCATAAGTAAATTTCTCATCAAAACGAATGTTCTACTTCTTATTTTAGGGTCTCAAGGGTTATTTCTTTATTCCATATAGATATTTATTAGAACGAAATTTGGTTAATGCTGACGATGGTGTATGGGCTATTAGTGATATCATGCTTCGTCTAGGTCACTTACCATCTGTTCGGCGAATGATGCTTCCTGGTCACAATCGTGATGCACGATATCGACATAATCGAGTTCGGTTGCAATCAAGATACCTTAAGTAACTATTTTCCTCTCAACATTAATCAATCTGCACATTATACAAATTAGAAGCCTTCTAGTGATTAGAAATAGGATTTATCAATGATCCAGAGTATTCTCAATCTTTAAATTACTAAACTCGAACATAACATGGCTATTACTTTATACTCAATAGGCTTTATACAAAGAAAATTCATTAATATTTTAATACTCATTTTTGCTACGTACACCTGATCTTTTTGAATAAAGAGAATAAGGGAAATAAAATCTAATATAACAGAATGCTGTAGTGGATTACTATGAAAAGATAACGGCATTGAAATTCTATTCTACAAAGGTTTGAATGTCTGTGTATGAGCGTGAGATGTGGATAAGGAAAATACTCAGCCTTACATTCAACTCACACATCCACACCCACAGCCTCTTATTGGTAATGAAAGATCAACAGTTGTTTTAATTGATCTGTTCCTCGTCCGAATTTAATATTCGTGAGACGAAATGTAATTACTTTTGCTTTTTTATATATGCCTTCTTCGTTACTTTCTTCCTCCAAATCATCATCAGACTGATCTGAACAAGAGTTGAGAATGGTGGCAAATGCTGAAGAAAAAAAAATATTCAAGTCTTGCATTCACAGAGACCCCATATGTCTAATGTCAGAAAAACAGTGACCAATCAGATGGGTATCGGAAAATAAATTCTTTCATAACTCTTCTATTGGAAACTATTGCTTACAATGAATAAAAGCATGAACTCAATGTTCTATCTTTTTGTGAAATTTATCGAAAAATGTGCAACATGCTTTTAAGAGTGTGGATGAGAAGCGTTACCATAAGATAACTCATCTCAACTATGAAAATCAATACATGGCAAAAATCTTAATGACTCAGATCAAATTGATGCTACTTCTATAAATGCAAAGTCAAGTGATAATTAAAAGAGCAAGTTCAGCTCAATGTAATGATAATGTATAATATTACTTATCAATATATGTTTATTGAGACATTTTTTCTTGTTAGCTCAGTTTTGTCTTAAAAATTAAATCAAATCATTTTTTCAAATCCGTTTTCAATGCTTTAAAGTTGATTATACATTTCTTATACTTTAATTCAAGTCTGTTAAAGAGGAAAAATGTCAATATAATCTTATATTGATTATGAATATGCTGTAAAAATAAAGACGCATTGACAAAGTATCAAGCATAAGAAAGCTCGTGCTAAATATTGCGATTACTAAGTTTTGTTTTTGAAATAAAATAACCTTGAACTTTTCCCTATACAGAAAAAATGTATTTCGCTCTATATCTTCATTTAACAATCAACTTCACCGAACATAAATGAACTATGTAGGTCTCAATGCTGATTACATATATATAAAGACATTTTTTCTCTTACCTTTTCAAAAATACTTACTTCATCAATTACAACCAAAAGATGGGGTCGAATGGCATCTGATAGTTAGATATGTTCCCTCGTAAGACTGTTGATATCAATTGTCAATGATGAGAAGTCTATGATGGACAGGTTGTGTAAAAATGTTTTTGCAGATGGATAATGCTGTGATTTCAAATAACATCAACAATAAAATTTATATCAAGTGAAAGTGCATGGACAATGAAATATATCAATACTTGAGGGTGGGACTGTGGATATTTTCTTCATAATCTACATACATCCACACCCACACTCTACTACAGCTATTTTGAGGGTAATTGCTATTGAACACTTACTTAGTAAAACTGACAAAAATCTTCATTTTTTAGCAGCTGACATAAGTGAAATTGCTCAAAAAATTATGGTTATTGGTATTTATAGACACATTCGTTTGTTTAATTGATACTTTTTTGCAAACATCCCACTACTGTATTATATATTCTTTCCTATATTTGAGTTTGTCACTCGTTTAAACAATTGATTATCATAATTTATCAAAAGAATTAAAAAAATTCTCAAAAGAGGCACGCATAAATAAATAATATATTGTTTATCTAAGACGAGATTTGTCATTGACAATAAAAATATTTTTTGCTGAACCAACAATCATATTCGGTCGATTGACATCTGTATCAGCACAATAAACAGCACTTTCAAGGTCTGTTATACCACCAACCATCTGTTTTAGAAAAGAAGTACATTAATATCTTCAAATAAAAAAAAAAAAACATTTTTCTCACCTGTAATTTTGAATAATCATAAATAATAGATTCATTTTTATCATTTCCAGCACATAAAATGTATTCTTTCAAGCAAAATTTCGTACAATACAGCTAAAATAATGGTTGTATTTAACATTTTATCAAAATTGAACTTACCATTGATGTAGCATGATTTTGAAAAGCATCTTTGATTAGTTCACCTGTTGAAAAATCCCAAATCTATAAATACTCAACAAAAAAAGAAAATTGATTTTCTTTTTTTCTATTTATTCAAACTTGTAATGTTGAATATTTTCTCCAAGAACCTGTTAAAATAACTTGATTTTCAGCTATAATATCTAAAGCATCACCACATAAATATGGACCAGAAAAATGTTTTTGTGAATGTGGTGCACGCTCATCCCAATAATGAATAGTTTCATCCCAACCACCCGTAAGAAAAATAGTTTCTATGGTTGGATGTGAACGAATAGCATGAATACGATTTTTATGACCATCCATATGTTCTCGGTTTTCTCTGTCATTATTTAACGAATAAGAAAAATTTAATAAAGAAAATAGAAACTTACGATGCCTGTAATTTACAAATTAATTTTTTTGTTGTAAAATCATAGCAATTGATTGCACAATCACTACCTAACAAAGAAATAAAATACATGCAGTTGAAGTTTTCATATGATTTCTTATACCAGCAACGAATAAATGTGTATAGGTGCTGTTGAAATCAAGTGCTAATGGTTGTCGTTCTTTTTCATTAAATGTAAAAACACATTGTTGAGTTGGGTAATGCCAAACTTTAACATAACCAGCAGTATCTACAAAGATAGAATACATATAACAAGATTTTCTTGTAATTTCACATACATGTAGCAGCTAACATTTTTTGATGATCAACTTTTAAATCATCTTTATTTGCATAGAATTTCAGACATGTTACAGGATAACCTAAACAATATGAAATATTTCGAAAGAGATATGTTTAATTCAAAAAATAATATTTACGTCGAGTTTTTGTATCATTATCCGAAAGAGCATATTGAAATTGACCTGATTTCGAATAAATCTGCAATAATATATTTTAAATATGATTTTTATTAGTTATGTTTTATTGCTAATAAATAACGAGTGAGTCAGAATAAGTGATCCGCGTGTCGTATTTAAGTTGCTGTGTGAAAAGTTCTACCATTTACAATAAAAAGTTTATTTTATAAATGGATCGTTTGTTTTAAAAATTGACAAAATATTATGTGATCAATTCTCGCATACTGCGAACTACCATTATCAATCAATCTCATAATCACTTTTTGTAGGTATTTACATTTCATTTCGTTTTCTTAACTAACACACTTATACGCATGTAATTTGTAATTATGAAGTTCATCTATTCCTCTAACAAATAACATCAGAATAAGTATAAGAAATAAGAATAGAAATTCGTCATATACCAAAGAAAAGTAATATGTAATAACATCGAATTTTGTCTATTTTGCTGATTAAACAAATACATATGAATTAAGATTTTCTATGATAGATTGTAATGTACTCCATTATCTTTTTTCTGGTGAAAATATAACGAATAAGAACTCATAAATCACGATTTTCTGCTTAACTAAGAAAACGATGCAAATCAACACAATATATTATTGATATGCATCATTTAGTTAGTATTGTTGAAAATCAATATACCATAAAATGCAATCATATTCTCTCAATAAGAAGGTGAACGTAAAAAAAAATGCTTCCGTTTTAGGAAAAGCACAACGAATTATGCAATCTCTTTCTATACAATAAATGTGTCTACAATCAATTTGATTACATACACACTTTTAGGAAATTTAAAAACGTACTTTAATTGTACCATTACCTAATCCAACAGCAAATGCATCATCGTGTGGACTATATTTACAACAGAGAACATATTCTTCACAATCGCTACAATAGAATAAATTTTCTTTTTTGTAAATATTATTTATATTTGTTTCGACTTACATAACATTAGATAATTCAAAATTACCCAATATCAAATGTTTGGGACGATTATCAATCGTTTTTGATGTTGACATTCGACTTGCACGATTAGTGCTCGACGCAGTCGTTAATGAAGCTTCACTAGTAGCCAAAGAGATTGAACCACGGTGTTCACCTAATTAGTATTTTTAAATAGTCATTAAAAACAATTAAACATCAAATATCAAGAAAAGAAAGAAACATAAAATGAACCCATCAATCGATGTCGAAATATGTTACCATTGTATCTTGACGAAGTTATGTTGTGTTTTATGTCAAATCAAACAGTTGTAAAATATTCAGTCAAACTATCATATTTTAATTTGTTATTTTCTGGTAAAACAATGAATAAGATTGAATGAATGACTGATTGAAGAAAGAATTAAAAAGCAGAGATCATCAAAATAGCATTACGACTAAGTGAGATATTGAGAAAGAAAAAAAAATGCTTATTCAAATAAAAATAGGCGAAGAGTCGAATTAATGTAAGTTTCTCTATGTCTCTCATTCTCTCTTTATTTTTACTGATGAACAATAGTATTTTATTTACGTATTGTTGTGAGAAATGGTATTTTTTTCTTCTATCATGAACAATGTTTACTATAATGAAATTTAAAAAAAAATATGATGACGACATGAATGTTTATTTTAATACAAAATCATAAAAACAAAGTTCTGATTAGGCATTTTTGTATGTATGCATAAATGTTTCATTAACTTACTAAGTAATGATTCAACAAATTGAGTTCGTTCATCGATTGCATTAATTTGAGAATACTTTTTAGTATTACGATTGAGACCCATTTCAGGTTCTGGTTCAGAACCTGAATCTTCATAGTCATCATCAACATCACTTAAATCATTCGAATGCGAGATAAAATTACCCAGCACATTATCATATGTGGACATTTTATCACAATCTACAAGACAAATAATGATACAGCTGAGATTTTTTTTAAAAATAAATGTACGTCATTTGTTCGTAGCCATGGCTCTATTAGCCAATAAATATTTGTTGGAAGTCGGACGTACTGCTGAATGGTTGATAAAAGAGAGCAATCTCTGTAAGTTGTCATAGGGGCATCGCATATGTGCTGCCCTCAAGGAAAGTTTGTTGTTAATTCTATTGTGTCCACTCATATTTTCATGTACTAGCAAAACAATAAAAAAGATGTTTTTTTTTTTTTATTTTCTACCATCGTCATATTTGGTATGTTAATTTATTATTAAACAAACTCAAAGAAAATACGTTGTGTAAATGAAATTTACAATGTTAAATGTCTGTAAAATGAAATGATTTTTAATATTCTCCATAAAAGATATTATTATTTGTGGAATTAGATTTTTTCTTTTAGAAAAATTATTTTACAATAATTTACTTCATCTGAATGAATTTTTATCAATTATTTTATGTCATGTAATCTTTTATATAAATTTTTAAAAAATGATCTTTATATAAAAACATATAGTGTATAGACAAATTCGATAATATAGTTGATCATGAGAGCCTATTATATTGAAACAATGATTTTATGTGATGTTGTTTGTCGTGATCAATTAATTGCTTTCATTGATTCTGATTATTGTTGTGATGAAAGATCGATTTTTTAAATTATGTAAGTTCTTAGTTGAAGAACATCAGTTGCAATATGATTATGAAATAGGATATTATTCCATTGATACAATGTTGCTTTTGTGATAATATGCACATGTATAACTTACTATTGACAATTGTGACAACTTAACATTATCCAACTATGTTTGAGGAATAATAAACGTCTAGATCAAAATTACATTTGTTCAGCTCCTTCCTCCCTTTCCTTGTCTGGTAGTATTCAATTTGGACTGACTTCCCTCTTCGTGGATATCTATTTTTCAAATATTTTATAGATAGAAATATGAAACTGATCGTTTCTTTCTAACGATAATCGATCGTCAGAGAATGATCTATCTTATTTATTTCTTTATTTCGAGCAGGAATGATTTTCTTTTCGTTTTTTTAAGTGATACTCATTTTTATTTGTCTTGTTACTATCAGCTCGTTATTTATTTTCTTTTTTTTCTATTGAATCTTTCATGATGTATTATTACTACTATTCTGCGTAGTATATATTTAACTGATGAAATAAACCTATTATAAACATTCGTTATATTTACCATCGGTTTTGACGTGTTACTTTGTATCTCGATACACTCAAGAGAAATGACATTGATTATTCCTGAACGTTAAAACTTGCTTAGTCGATGTATTTTGTATTGGTCATATAACAATTGTAGCACATGTATATTGCACTCGAAATCATCCTTCATATCTCTCATCTAGTCATTTAAATTTCAAAATTATCATCTAGGCCTGGTTGTTAATGGCCGTTCAGTGTCTGTTTTCGTTTCTAAGGAATCACGGGATTCTATGTTGTTGCTTATTGTCCTTGGTTGCTGCTGTAGAAATAGTATTCAATTACCTTTGATATCATTTATTAAGGCCTAAAGGGATTTGAGGGACGAACCACAAAAAACGACAAAAAAAAAAAATTATAAAAAGTGTCTAGAAGACTAGATGCCTCGAAACTTTCATTTCTTTTTATCTAGGAATGTTTCGTTTTGATTAATCCAACCCTGTCCACTTTTCTTGAACGTAGTTTATGGTTAATCCATAGAGTTTTGTCTATTCCATGAAAAGATGCTCTCTAACGATAAATGAATCTTATATAATATCTGGTTCAGTGAACCTTATTTGAATAAAAAATTAAGGATTATTCTGGAATTGAGGTACTGCAGTAAAATAAAAGCTTTGTGAAATGAAGTAATGAGCATAAAAGTCGTTTAAAATGATATAATAATAATAATAATAATAATAGTATATTTGCAGATACATCAATGTTAGATATGAATGATAAATTAGAAATTTTGATCTAGTATGGCTCTTAGCATACTACGACATAACTGAGAATGTTGAGACTACTCAATAATTATGAAATGAAGCATGTGTTGAATCTTACGAAAAATAGTACTACTGTGTAAAAAAAAGGTCATCTAATAAAAATCACGATATTATTAGTCGTTGAATATATATTTTTTCTCTGAAAATTAGGATGCATAACAGCTATAATTCTTTTCAAATTGTCTTTCTCTTTAAAATAGATATGAGTACATCCATTTACATTGGGATAATTGATAACGAGAGAGAACGACACATGCTACATATTTTTTTTTTCTCGTGAAATCTATATCATTTCAAAAAAATCCATAGGCAATTGCATAGTAGTCATATCTCTGGCTACGCTATTGTCAATGATACTTGGGTTGATTATGCTGTCGTCATTGCTGCAAATATATTCAAAGAAAGAGTTTGTAGTAGTTGAATTTTGGTTATTGTAGTTTTATCCATTCTTCAAGGTATACTGTAGCCGATTGAGAGATGATCTTCCGTTGCGTTCACAGTAAATCTTTGGTGATTGAATTTAACCTTTTTTAACATTCTAGTTGTAGTAATCATTATTCATCATAATGTCAATTGATCGCCTTGCCAGCAGAGACACCGCGTGAATGGTGAATGTGGACGTTCTCTCGACAAGTAAGGCTGATATTGATCCATGTGTATCTCTCTAGAATGAACGTTCCTGTCCTCTAGAACAGCAATGCTTATTCGATAAGAAAAGAGCATATACTTGTATAAAGAAGTTATCATCTTTTATGGTTAGTGTCGATAAGATAGCCTGTTACCATTATTTTCTTCTCCCTGTAAAAATGATACATCGAAAATAGTACAAACATTTTTAATTCTTAAAATATCATGTTTCCTATACGCAAGCGAACTCATGTATAAGGCATGCTTATAATAGTATTGTACGATAATAACAAAAAAGTTATTTATCAACTTGTTTTGATGTGATGTACCAAACAGGTCAAGTGCGTTATAGAAAATTTTCAAATACATACATGAAGTGCTATAAGAATAAAAGTCCATCTGCGTATACGAAAGACTGTTTTCGCAGCTATTTCTCTCCCATATCGAAAATTTTACTTCATGTGCTACATAAAACCACGAACACTCATGAAGCGGTCGAATACTGACAGATATAGATCGAAGAAATTTTCCATATTCATATCACCATTCCAGAATAATATTATTTGCAAACTGTTTATTATCTAGAGCAATATTGTTCCTAAAAAATATAACCATTCGATGTAGAATTAAAGTCTGCATTTGATCCAAGCAAAAAGAAATCCAATTCAATTCTAGGAGAAACTATTTGTAGGAAAAATTGGAATCCACTTATAACTTTTTTACGTGATATAAGACTATATCTCGTCTAATGATTAACTGCGTTTCAGAGAAAACCCATACAAAATATTTTTTGATACGGTTTTTTCTTATGATTCCTGTTTACCATATACTAACATCACTCCCCCACACAAAACAATTTGAGCATTATTGATCGGTGGAACATGATTCAAGTTCTACAAAACAAGTGTAACTGGATACATCCATCTTCTTTCGTCCATTTCAAAGAGTAACTTGCAAAAGGAGATCGACATAATGTTTTCTTCTTTTCAAACAATCAAAACCTAGTTCCAGTAAAGTATTCATAACCCAGGCATGCAACTTGCTCGAACTATATTCTTCTCGCTCTATCCCGTAGATTAATAAATACAATTTATGCAAAAACGAGCCACCAATTCGAAGAAAACCATCATGGTTTTGTTATTCTTCTTATCTATAACTGCAGAACAAAATCAATATTTACAAGAATAAACAGAATAGTGTCGAGAGAAAAATGTGAAAGTAATCTTTTTTCAAATAGTATCAATCTCACTACTTATATAGTTAGACCGCTATGCAATTATACCTGTTGTTAGTTCGTTGGTTTTTTATACAAAAAGTTCTTTTTTTTGTATGCATTTACCGAAAATTAGATTCCACATTCACTTCTTATTGCAACTCTAGTTATAACGGACAAGTATTGATTGTAACATCAATCGTCAACTTTTCTAATACATGAACAAAACAACAACAATAAATCTATGAAATTTCTAAGAATAAGTTTGTTCGCTTTCATATTACATATCAGCTACCTATGAGAATAATCTCTTCATTGGCGACTAAAATGTTGTGTCTGACATCTTCTGTTTTCATGTTTGATTGTATAGCTGTAGACCAATTATTGTTTTTGTTCTTTTCTCTCTTTTTCTTTCTTCGGGTAATAATAAATGGCCGAAAATGAAGCCGAAAACCGAAAGGACCGAAAAACATGTGATTGGCTATCATCCATTTGTATCATATTTAAAGATGATTCAACGAATGATAACTAATCGCATGTTTTTCGGTTTTCGGTTTCATTTTCGCCCATTTATTATTACCCTCTTTCTCCACAGTGTAAAATAACTTAGGCATCATTATATTCAATATACGTAACTGTATGTTTTAGCGTTGTGCAAACATCAAGAAATCACAAGAATAAACGAAGAAACACATACTTTTAAAAAGACCTGAATAAGCGTCATGGCAGATATGCAACAACAACAACAACAACAAACTGGTCCATATTCAGAAGTTGACTTTGGTAAATACTATGGTAAAAAAGCTGATGATGCGATTAAAGAACTAAAGGAACTTGGTAAATCTGGAGGCGATTAGACACAATAATTTTATGACGAGATGTGTCACTTTTTTTCTGTTTAGGTTATGATCCAGTCAAATTTGATGCACATATGCTAATTCAAGGTCGAGCACTACCTGAAATTCCAGATGAAAAAACTCTGCATATTTACGTCAATAGAAGTGACAATACGGTGCAGCAAATTATAAGTAAAGATTGAAGGGTCGACACATTAACATACAAGACAAATTCTTTTTTCATTTTATTTTTTTCTTTGCGCATTACATAATTATTAACAAGAAAATAACATGCTAATGCTTCTATTCATCATCTTAAAACGTAAGATCTACTAATGTTTCTGCCATTCTATTTGAACTGTATGTTTGAATAAAATAATGGTCTATGAATGAGGATGATAATTACATAGAAAATAGTTACAACTTCACCTATGTATCAGGAAAGAAATATTAACCACAGTACGATGTCAACACTATAGAAAGAAGCAAATTGACAACATTTATTTAATTCATGAGACAAGTGTCCAAGGTCTGAGTAAGAAGGGACTGCTTTTCAGTTCTTCCACAGTTCTATGATTGCTCAAATAAAAAAAAATACAACATCTACGATATATTTTTTGCGTTAACATTCATATTCATTAGGCAATTTCTGAAGATAAATATGTGGATATGAAAACTATTGCAGAAAATACATCACTCGGGCTTATACAAATGGGCGAACTATGAGAAAACTATAATAGACAGTTTTGATGGAGAACCAACAGAGACTTCAGCTGTGAAGTCCGCTGTTTTCCCATCAATACGTTCATTATACTTTTTTAGAGTTATATTATAAATTGGCCAAATAATTGTGTTCCTTAATGAAATGTATCGAAAAAGAACATGGTAAATATGATTATGTTTAGAACATCATTCATGAAACCGTTTAAATTTTGTTCAAACTTACTATATAACAGCATTCCATGAACAGATACTATCAACACAAATGAGTATGGATTTGATCCATTACAAATGATATTTTCGAGGTCCGCTTAGATTATTTCAGTTTATCTTAAAACTAACATATAGATTAGATTTCTGAGATTCATTTTAATCGGTATTCTATTAAAGTACAATGCATTGCGAGAAATTGTATAAAGATTAATTTTAATGGATTATTACTTTTTGTTTGAATTGGTTTTATTCCAGTGAATATATTTAAAGATTCTATATTAGTGTCAAAATACAAAATGGCCTGTATAGTCTATCCAAAATTCTCGGTCAGGGTGTGGGTATGGGTGGGTATCCTCTCTGAATAGAAATACACTCACATCCACACCCACCCACACCCACGATCGTCGTAATCTAGTAGAAGATTGTTATCACTGTTCAATACAATTGATGTGAATTGATGAGTCTTCTTCTTTCGTGTCTCTTTTTTCTATTTAAGTATGTTTTTATGAGTGCCGGCATTAGAGAACGTTCGTTTGATCATATTATTAAAGATATGAGCAACATTAGTAAGGCAAATTATCACCGTTTAAGGTTTTGATAAAATTGCTGCGTCGATCTAATACAAACAATACTATCATGAATTGCAATGTCGAATCGAAAACGTTTGAAAACAGCTTTGATTGCTTATTGTGAGAAAGCCCGAGCCACAGTAAAGAAGTATATACAGGCAAGAGCAGGTTTTTGTTACACTGTACCTACGAAATTACTCTGAACCCGCTTGTTGACTTCAATATATAGTTCACAAGAGAGATCAACCGCGTATAGCTTATAATTACTATTGACGAAACGAGCTGTCAATTCAAGCGAATAATTTTCTGTTTGAATCTGTTGCTTCATATGTGTGATCTAATTAAAAGAGTTTTTTCTTTTGCTGCTTGGATCAATTCGATCTTTATGTATTCATAAACTTCGCTTGCTTGTCATCCAATTTCTCTGATAACTATCGGTCTCGATGGTACAATATCATTCGTAGTTATACGGCTGAGAAATGATTCTGCAAACATTGAAATGAAGACATTGAAAGATTGATAACAGATTTTAAGTTTACTTACCGCACTCCAATTAAGACATTATTAAATGACAGTCAGGAAACCTTCATCTTCAACGATGCTGATCGGGCCTCCACTTTCACAACTAGACGGATTAGATTAATATGACTAGGTCTAGTCAGTGAAGTAAGATTAGACGGAGTTGTTAATAGCAAGTTAGAATTAAATGAAAGTGTCGCTACCAACTGTTTCTTTGGACATTTATGTTCAACCGGTGATTTTGCAGATCTATGAATATATACATGTCTTATGGTAAGGTTGACAAGATGGAAAGTTCTCGATAACAATATATTTATTGTTTTCAAATTTGATCGCTGATAAATCGAATTCAGATCAACATGATCATGGATTAATGTATTTGGATTTCATATTATCGACGACTGTGTATTTGTGTGGCTTTTCTTGTAGAACGTTTTAATACTTATGTGTTATACATATAGCAATCGGAAGAACGTTGCATAAATGATATTCATACACTTAAAGATAGATATGTATTGCTCGGCGTAGAAACTGGCACTGAAGTAATTGACTTATCAGACAACATGATTGCGTCGCAATCAGATAGTGCCAATGCCGGATGATCGGTGGAGAGCGCGAGAAAAGGGAAGAGAGAAAGGGAACAATGTAAAGTAAAATGATGAGACTATGAACGAAGGACAAGCGGAGAGAAAGACAGTACTACAAAGTGAAGAGATAAGCACATGAACAGAGGGGATAGTGTCATACGAAGGAAATGAAGGAGAGAGCGGGCAACATGCATTTAAAACTGAGAGAAGAGTATAATACAAAGAAAACGATGAGATAGAACAATATATTATAAAAAAATTGTCAGCGCAGCCTCTTCGAGGCTAAAATGTGGAACTCACATGTTTCAGGTAAGCTAGAACACAATCTAGTATAAGCGGTTACGAGAGAAAAGTATCCGTTAAGCGTTGGAACCCCCTCTTTTCCATTGCTAAAGGAAATGGATCTAATAACCTGTGAAATACGTCTCACGTGGGTTGCTTGGGAAGCATCTGTACTCGATGTCTTTGACTGCGGCTTTCATAATATCGGCTCCGTTAATGAGCACCTTTCGAGATTACTAGGGAAACCTACACCTTAACGCTAGTTGAAAAATTCATCTTCCAATTGCTATGAAAATGTACTCGTTGTTCGTTAACCCTGGTTGCTATGCGCAATAGGAGCTGTGGGAAGTCTAGACATGCACCAACCCCAAACGGTTTGGGTTTTGTGAGTTTGGGTATCGGGTTTGTGTTTAGGTAGGGTTTGTGTATCAGTTTGGGTTCAAATTTGATTATGGTCCATGTAACTAAGCTTTTCATATACAACTGTTGATCAAACTCAAACTCATACCCAAACCCAAACTCTAACTCAATACTCAAAGCATCAAAACGAAAACGGTTTAGGACTAATGCATGTCTAGTTGCAGCATCATACCCATACCCAAATCCAAACCCAAACCCCCAAACAGTTTGAGTTTGGGTTTGGTGCATGTCTATGAAAGACAGAAAACTTCACTTTAAAACTTACACTCTTTTTTTCTTCGTAAAATATGTGAGTTCCACTTAAAAAGAGAGCGTGACTATGCCAACGAGAGAGAGGGTAAGGTAAGAGAAAACGGAAGAGTCCATGAACACAACAAAAAAATATACTGTAGATAGCTGCGCATAACATGCACATGACGAGTATATGCGCTTCTGACAAACGTCAAGGAGCAGAAAAAGAGAAGATAATGTTCATAAAAAGAATAAAAGAAATGATGATATGGGTAAGCACAAAGGTTGGTGATGCATCAGCGTGGCTGAAACAACTGATGATTACAAACAATAACGATCAGACAAAACAGCGAACTCGTGGAAAAGGAAAGCCCGTCGGAGAAAAGTAATTTGAAATGTAAATATGGTAGTATACTTATGTGTACTAAAGAATATTGTGACGATATACAAAGTCAAATGAAACTGAGCAGATTCAAAGCAAAGGAAAGTTTATTGAATTTTTGAATAAAACTAGAGTTTTTTAAAAAAGAGTGCTTTGTCTTGAGTCAGAGTAAGATCCATTTCTAGAGAAACCTTAAAAATGAGTTCGGTTAATAGATGTAAACGAAGAGATGTATTGACCCTTATCAAACGATAGACACTGCACACAGTTAGAGGCTCGTTTCTTCAACAATTTCCTGTTCAGTTACTCCTAGTGTGATATTTGAGGATGCACGACAGCAACGACTTAAAACTTTTCGCTTAATCGATTTAATCTTTTCTATTTCACGAAATAGATTTATATACACATTTGAAGGATAAATATAGATAAAGAATGTGAGGACCAAAGGCATATATAATAGAAAGTCGAGAGCAATATGTAAACGCAGATAAAATTTTTGCATACTTTTCTCTATGCAATATTTTCCGGCAATAGTTACGAGTAACTTTTCTGGAATTGTACAATTGATAACAACTAGCGGTGGAATAAAAAAATCTTTGTGCTTCAAAATTTGCTGCATTATTAGTGATTGCCATGAATTTCTTTCTAAGTCAGTTAAAATGATTTTACGACGAATAATATGTGATAGTGTGAGAACAATCGATGAAAAACTTAACAGTAACGGTATCCCAACATCTGTATAGATAGTACCTATCACTTTATGCGCTGTTTCTAAATTTTTATTTGAAAAACGATTAAATGAACAGACATAGGATGTCGTTGAAAGTACAGGACTTTTTCCAACACCACGTCCGAAAGATACTATTACACTTTCTAAGCTGAGAAATAGGAATAGAATAATTAAAAAGATAACTGCATACTTTCGTGTACGATAAAGACTATAATGGAAAAGTTGAATTAATACACGTTCAACAGCTATGAATGCACTAAGCCATAGGCATATGTCGAATGTTAGATTCAGAAACGTTGGTATGAGTGTACAGTGTATTAGTGGATGTTTGTTTAGTTCATTATTGAAAAATAATGCTACAATTGCAATAATTTCTAAGGTCACTGTACCAATAAAACTAAAGATAGAATAAAGTATTATATAGAGGCCACACACTGTAATACGTATTTTTTGTATAAAACATGTTGAAAGAGTTAATAAATTACTAATAAACGATAGAACTGTTAGAAGTGAGAATATAAATATAAAAAGAATCTTTAACGCTACTCTA